AGAGATCCTGACAAACCTTCAGGGTCATACTTTTTGTTTTGTTAAGGAAGACGTAAGTGAGTTAGAGATCCTGACAAACCTTCAGGGTCATACTTTTTGTTTTGTTAAGGAAGACGTAAGTAGGCTAGAGATGTTGATGACAAAGCATTTGATTTTCTGTAGTGAGAGATTAGTAGGAAGAAGAAACGAGAATTCAAAATAGTTTTTGAGCATTTGGTTTGGGAAAGGAATATTTGACTTTTTGCAGTGAAGTATGGAATGAAAGCGTTTGTGCAACGAAATTTGTACTCCCAAATGGGCTGGGAGGGGAATAATCACGCTAGAATGTGTGGGATATAGTTGGATACAATTATTTTTCGTAGTTTATTCTACGTTCCGTTTGAAACATATATGGCATAGGAGATTGGTTAGCTGGGATTGTGTTTTTGGATTACGATAAGTTTCTAGTATGGTGATGGACACTTTTGAGGTTTAAAATTTGATGTGTACATCGGTATTATATGCTGTTGGCATTATGTTCGAGGAATGGTTGCTGGGTTCTTTGGATAAACGAGAAGCTCTTGATGGCGATACTTCTCTTGGCTGGACTGCAATCTTTATCTGGATTTTATTTCCGTGCCATAATGAATTCAATATTTAGCTTATAGTGATATTTGATGCAAGTAAGTGTCAAAGAAGAGTGTGGAGAGAGTGAAAAAGAAAAATGAAACGGGTGGTGGGTATTCATTTCAGAATTTAGCGATTGGAGATTGTTTGAGTTTTGAACATATATTGCACTATTGCTGAAAGTGCGAAGAAGATAGGATAAATACAATTTTATGCAGGTAAGTGAGCGAATCTTGAAAAATAATTGTTTCTGATGATGACAACACTTTACATTATCTATGAAACTATATGGTATCACAATCTGTTGGTTTCAGTTGTGCTATGTCTCAATAATAATGTAACGGGTGGTATACTATAAATCAAAGAAAAGTTTGGATCTTTTTAAATCACTTTCCACTTGAGTGAAAACACTGCTTTAGTTTCATTCGGTAGAGAAATTTCTGGTCTCCAAAACTACTTATTTGGCATGGACCCTCTTCGCCGAAAAATATTTTGTTCAAAACAGTTTTTCGCTTAGAAAGGCGCCGAAAAAGTAAAGGAGAAAATTCTCTCAACGATATGTTTTTCGACGAATAGGATCATAGCCATTTATTCCTTTTTTGTGAGAGAAAGGATTCAGAGATGAGCACAGGACAACATTTTATGTCCTGTCCTGCCCTGGTGTCCTGTGAATTTCTGTCCTGGTGCGCGGGAGGACAGGAACAGAAATGCAGTCTTTGTCTTGTGCACAGGACAGGACACTTAGATACTTGTAGTTTTCATTGTAAAAGTTGTCCGACTACTGAATATGGTTTGTCATATTAACTACCTGTTATATATGTTTACAAGAACTGAATGGTTATTAAATTTATTGCGATAAATAGAAAGAAAAAAATTGTTGACTTAGTATTTTAATCATTAATCTAATAGAGAGAATAAGCACATAGTTTTATTAATAAATTAACTTCCATTAAAACTAGTTCATATCACAGCAACATACATGAAACATTGAAGAGAAACATTTTGATTATGGTAAAGATATGAGAATTACATGTTGCTACACAAAAGTCTTATCGCAAATGGAAAATCTAGAATAATTTACTTATAAAAGTATTTTGTTTTTTTTGCATTGACCTAATCAGTAAAAGTTTTTCTAGTTGTTCTGGATTAATATTTGTTCACCTCTCATTTATAATTAAACCAGCTCCAAAAAATTGTCGTTCAACGCTAGCAGATGTAGCGGGTATTGAATGAATACATCTGGCATATCGAGCTAAGCGAAGAAATTTATCTTGATTCTCCTTCCAAAACATCAATGGATTACGATCAACTTTAAATTTATCATATTCAAAGTTAAGATATCGATCGAGTTCACCAGGTTTTGTACCACGTAATTCAAAATCTTCTGCTTCATTTTCTGAATTTTGACTGTCTACTTGATTAGAATCGAAATTCCAAAAATTCAAATCTACTAAATAAATCGGGTTTGAATTTTTTCGTTGGTGTTGTATTTATTTCTTTTGGATCAACTTCAACATGAATTGATCCAAGTTGTTGACGAATAAACGTATGAGTTTCCAAACGTTCTTTTACAGAACACATGTTCAATGAACGATACTTTGGATGAAGAAGCGTAGCCACGTAATGTCGTACATCGAGAGTAAACATTTCTTCTAGTAGAAATCGTATACGTTTATAGAAAAATATTATACATAGATTAATAATCAAAGTATTATTGAAGGTTTTAACAATATTTTTTGCATGATTTTACCTTCCAATTCCTCAGATAAATCATCATCTAATTCATCTAAGTTTTTGTTCGATTCAAATGCAATATCATAATTAATTAATTCATCGTAAGAACTCATAACATTACGTAATGTTTCGGCAGACAATAAAACCATAAACAAAAAAGGAGAATTTCCATTTTGAGTTAGTTTTACTACGTGTTTTACAGGTTTTAAAACTAATATAATTTGTTTAATGATATTTTGATCAACATTCATTACTAGTTTTTGTTGCTGCTTCGAACATAAAATTTTCTTAATAATTTTAAATGATTTTAAAATAGATTCTAATGATTCAATCATTGTTAGCCATCGAGCAATAATTGATTAATGAACTGTACTTCTCCCATTATCTTCAATTTCTTTATTTAAACCACTCTAAATTGAAATTAAAAGCAATCATGATTTCATCATATATTAAAAATATTAATCAATAATAAACACCTTTTTAATAAATTTTACAATCTTTTTACATTTGGTTAATATATTGAGAACATTTCTTCCTGCAAGTGGAATATCATCTATTGACATTTTGTAAGAAGATTCTTGTTGATTATTTGTTAATATTGATTTGATCTTTCTCTTCTTCCTAATCAGTGGTATTGTTGGCAAAATAATTATTTGCTCTTCATCTTCAGTTGTTCCTTCACTTGACAAACAATTATTTCCATTTGAAGAAGCAACATACTGCTCATTAAATTTTACACGTTCTGGTGCAGCCTTTATTGTACCTGTTGTTATATTCGATGCCTGTTTCTTTTTTCTTTGTACATTTTGAAAAAATGTTAATTTATCTATATTATTAAGTCGATGGGCAAAACAAAATAATGGATTTAAATCACGAAATGCAGCAACAAAGTTAGAACCTCTGTCGGATACGATATTCACCATACTAAGATTGTTAATACCAAAATCAGCTAAATGTCGTTCAAGAACCTAAAATTAAACAATTTCGTAAGAATAAACATAAAAAATGAAATATTTTATCTATATATTATTATCAATATAATCT